ACATGTGTATATAAACCTTTTTAGGCACATGAAAAATAAACCTTTTTAGGCGCATGAAAAATCTAATGTAGTTGCAAACGACTATTTGGTTGCTCCATATTCAAAGTCCTATCAAGTGAGAGTTAATGATTTTGCATTAATTACTAGAATAATAAACCATATTAGAAAAGAGAAAAAACTAACATGGAGAGGCTTTTAAGCTCCTCACGGTGAAGCGATTGGACTAGATTGAAATCTAGCTTGGCAAGCTCTAATAACACATCATTTCGTGTTGCATCCTCTTGGTAGATGGAGATGTAGTTTCTTGTCAAGAGCCTTTTGGTTCTTCGAAATAGAGGTGTCTCAAGGGAAAGAGACACTTTCGACAGTAAAGGTGGTTCGAGATCGCTTAACATGGAGGTAAGTATGCTTCTTGTAAAAGAAATGACTTCGTCAAGTATTGTCTCTCCATGTGTTCCAAGGTAGGCTGCGTTGTATAAGCTTAATAGTCCCTCCACATCGCCCTTCAAGTCAGACATGAAACTTCCTTCCTCATCTTTAAACTTGTTAAAAACATCTGCACTACGAAGCAGTGTATTCACGTCTACCGCAGACTATTTGGTGAATTATAACAGAAATCCTGCTTTCTCTTGTCTACCACGAACTATTTAGTAACAATAGTTGCTTAAGCCTCTTTACGTCAATTTTGCAGATCTTGTCATCAAAATGATTAATTGATCCGGCGTCAAACTTCATTTTGGATTGCCAAACCAAATGTAACTAAAGCTTGTCTAACGTGACATTTATTTCTTTCATCATATAGGAGTGTTCAGTGCTTATATGTTCTTACACTCTCAAAGATTGAAGAACACTACATGGAGATATGTTATATCCATGTTGTCTAAGTAATCGAAATCGAAGAGAGGCCTCGTAGAGGCCATGTGTGTTAAAATCTGCATCATAGACTTTGCTTAATGCATCGCTTATCTCCTTCTCAAAATGATAGGCCACTCCAAGAAGTTGGATGGCATCGATCAATTGCATGGTCTGCAGTAAATCACTGTAGTCCTGCAGCATGCTCTTTATTTGCTCCCTTAGTTCTCTTGATCTTTCCTCCATCCATTCATGATTGTCCTGCATCAAATTGCAACGTAGAATGATAAAACAATGCAGGTATTCCCGACCATATGAAGCGACGGGCCCGCTTCTTGCAGATAGGCCAAAGCATGTTTGATTATAATAGATGCGCAGAATTTGCTCAGCTAGCAAGTTGTGCACATTGTATTTTCACGTAACCATGGTTAGTTCAGGTGGAAAAGTTATAGATAAGATTAGTCGCACTCTTCATGAATGCCGTGCTTTAGAAGAGGATGATGAGACTGCGTAATGTAGAAGTCACACACAAGTTTAGTTGCACTTAGATGCATGCCTGAGCTTCGGAAGAGGGTGAGACATGCGTAATGAAGTAGTCACCCCAAACACTGGGATGGTAGCCTGAGGTCTTTCGAGCGACCTCCTCAACAACGCTTGCGACGAGGCACTGAGAGCTCATGGTCTCCACCCCTAATCACTCCACCATATATATAGTAATGAGTCGCCTTGTGGAATTGTGAGAGAGAGGAAGCCCTCATGGCTCAATATTTATAGGGGTCGAGTGATTGCCGTAATTATGTTATTACTGCGTGGCAATCAAATCTGGCATCTGGATCAACCCCAGGCTAAACTGGTGTGGCCAACGGTAGGATATAATATTATTAAAGGCCAAGTTGCTGGTTACTGAATTGAACGTGGCATGTGATCTGGTTTGATCCGTGGCCTACAGATGGGGTTCTGCAGTCATTGTCTCTCCCATTTGTTATTTTCCCTCTATCTCGAGAAACGCACCCCAATCATAGAAGGCTGTCTGCTGTGACATAGCTTTCATCTCAAAATATATAATGCATGTCGAACAAAATGCAATTGACAATCTTACTCTTCGTGATAAGTAAGATCTTTTATATACTTATAATATTCTATATGTATTTCGTGAATCCCCTTTTATAATTATCATAATAATTTATATATTAAAGATCATCCAAGAAAACTATGCTTAACAAGGCCAATAAAATAAATTCCATAAATA